GGTGGGGAAGGCTGATTATTTTAACATTTAAGATTGCTAATGTTGCGRTTCTGAGAGGGGATCTTAATATATGCAGATATTCATTCCTTGTTGAATGGGTGTGGAAGCTGAAGCTGTTGTTTATAATTKGTTTAATGTCAGAAGATCTCAGCAGGTCACTCTGCTCATCAGAGTGGGTGCAAGGAGAGACCCTCAGTGCAAAAGATGAGCACCTGAGATTAGACAGTGCAGAGCCACTCACCTTTACAAGGCAAAAAAGGAAAAAAATGTTATTATTACTCCACTGCCATGCTGCATTCTCTCTTTTCTCACATGGTTTGTCATGTTTTTGGTGGATCAGCTGCCATTTGTGTGCTGGTTTTCTCTGGAAGTGCAAGGATGTCAGTAAAGTGTTGTTATCATGCATGAAAAAAAAAAAAAAAAAAAAAAAAAGCAGAAATGTAGGGCTTGAAATAAAAGGTGTTGCTGCTGCAGAGCTCAGGTTTCAAGTAGCTGAGCCTAATCCTTTCCAGCAGGTAAAATTGGAGTTTGGCACTGCTGAAGACAGTGTTTACAGAAGGATAAACGTGGCAGTTTACCTGATTTTTTAAGTTATGTTGTTTGTAACTTGGCATATGAAGAGATCTGAGATGTCTGTTTAGATTTTAACACTCCTAACGTAACTAAAAATGTCCTAAAGGCTCAGCACTTCCACCCACTGAGGTTTGCTAGCAGGCTGGATACGGCATTTTCACATTTTAAACAAAAACACCCAAAAAGCCCAATTCTGGCGTGTAAAGTTCTGTGCTGGAGGAGCTGCCTGCGCTCTGCGTGCTGATGTTTGTTCTAGCAGATTGATCTCTCTCACGCATAATATTTTCATCTCTTCATATCCACTAAATATGTTTTCATTTTATTCGTCTTGCAAGCTTCCCCTGCTCTGGCAGGATGGGCTGGAGGATGGGCTGTGCCTGCCTTGGGTAAAACCAGCAATTTATTTTGAATTTTCTATGGCTGTAGACATGCTTAATGTTGCTATTAGGCAGCTTGGATGTTTCAAGTTGTCTTGAAAACTGAGTTTGACTCATTAAAAAAACAGGTTTGACATAAAAAAATCTGTGATGAATCCCCCCAATTCCACTTTATTTCATTTCCTTATTTGCATTGTAAAATAACTGAAATGGTAAAGCATATTTATAATTCTTATAATTTATGTAGAGGAATGTATTGTGTGTGTTTAATCCAGGTATTATTTTTTTGGTCATAGTCATTTAGAGAGTGTTGTTGATTCACCTGAAGTTTCTGAGAATTGCTTTTTATCATCGAATTAGGCTCAAAAGTTGTGTAGAATTGTAATAATGCATAGCTCCTGAATGGTTTGTAAAACTTTGGAATAGAGAAGAACATACAACTTCATGTAGGAAGCATCACATGATACTGAATCATCTTTAACACCATAGTTTTTTGAAGTTTGTGGGGGTTTTGGGGGTTTTGGGATCTGCACAGCGTCAGAGAGGTAAAGGCAGGGGCAGCAGTTATTTCCTTCCTATAAAGATGTTCATGCTGTAAGGTAGAAGACCTTGAAATGCAGTTACTTTGGTATAAACCTATTTTAAATACATTTATTTTGCAGTATACTAGAGTGCTTTGAGCTGGAAGGGACCTTACAGCTCATTTTGTTCCACTGCCATGGGCAGGGACACYTTCCTCWRTCCCAGGYYRCTCCAAGCCCTGTCCARCCTGGCCTTGGACACTTCCAGGGATGGAGCAGCCACAGCTGCYCTGGACAACCTGTGCCAGGGCCTCAGCACCCTCAGAGGGAAGAAATAYATCTAACTCTACAATTATTTTTATATATTATTTTACTGCTTASTTTTAAAATAATTGGAAGTTCACCAAATACGTTCTCATTTACTGAAGAATACCTTTCCCACAGCCACGTGCAGTGGAAGTATTACAATTTTTTTTTCTTTCTAAAATAAGAAAATCATTATGGGATGAATTAGCATTTGAACTCTAAGATATTTTCCTAGACTTGATAATTGTGTAAATGTTACATCAGTTATTGTGTGCATTGTRTGTGTATTATGTGTAAATGCTATTTGAGGAGTTCTCATTAATGTTTTAACCACTTCAGTGGGGGAATAGAATCAATTACGCTGCTTTAGCTTTTCACTTCATGAGAAAATTGTTGTCTTTACTCTTTGCTAAATTATTCTTGCATTTAATAATTCACTAGTCAGTCTGATCTATTTTTCACCTGGGAAAAGGGGGCAGCAGCTTGTCTTGATTTTCCGTGTATATTCAGTGTTACACTCGGGGGAATGGTATATCCAAAAATAAGACTATAAATAAGAAATCAGTAGCCTTTTCTGTCTTGCTGCTTTATGTGGCTTTGATATATGCTTCTGCAGCATTATTACTCACTCTGTTCAAATCAATGCTCAGAGCTTTCCTTTACATGATTGATTTCTTCCAGATTAGCCCACCAAGTACGTGATTTAATAAACACCTCTGTACCTGTTTGCTAACACACAGATGTCTGCAGTGCTAGACGCAGACTCYATAAAAATTTCCAAAAGTGCTTCAGTCAGTCATAAGATTTGGATGGTATAATTTTATTTAAATAGGAAAAAGAAAACAGATTTGGTCTTCTGTAGTCAAAAGCGAACTAAAATTTCTTGGAAGAAATAGAAATAAGGCAAGAGCTTACAGAAAATGAAGCCAGGTTGTGCAGGAGATAATGATAAAAAGTAAAGTCGCTTACTAGGGTATTGTCCTCTTTAAATGGCACTTTCCTKCTTCAGAAAAGAAGCATTTTTTCCTTGCTTTTCTCTTCTTGAACATTGTGGTAATGGATTGTAAAGTATCACAACAATGTATAACTGTTGATGTCCCTTCCTAAAATACCCATGGGTATGTATTTGCATTACCATTTTGTGAAGGTTTTTGCAGGAGCAGAGTGTCAAGGACAAATTGAAGTGTTTTGTGTGATAAAGTGCTCTTTGGGGTTCAGTGGGTTTGGGGTCCATGCACAACACCCACATTGTATTAGGATGTTATTTCAGTGCCACAGTTGGTTATCTGTAGCAACTCATAGGGTGCTCATGTTCTGAGCAACTGAATCTTGAAAGAGTTCTGTGCAGGACCTGGAAGGATTTTGTGTGGCATTTGGATATTTAGAACCAGATTTTTTACAGTTGCTTATAGCTGGATTGTATGGACCTGGTTTGGGTGGAGTCTTCTGCAGGTTTTAGTTTGCCCTAGCAGTTTCATTTTTTGTCTTTCCATAATACCTCTGATATCTCTGAGACCAATGTTCTCTAATGYTTTCCAACCCAGACACTTTYCATTTGTAATCACTGATAGAAAATGTAATGGCCTTTGAGCATTGATGGCCTGAGGGATTGGGAAGTTTGGAAAAGTTTTTTCATGAGAGGTTACTGTGCAATATTTTAACACAGGTCTCCAAGCACAGTATTTTTCATCTTTAAGTTCACTCTTAGTTCTTTTTTTCCTTGTTATTGTCCTGACATGACACTATCCCTCCCTATATTTTCTCTCTGTATATATGGTAGGTTTGGTTTTTTTTCTTGATGCCTTCTGTGATATTGTTTTCTCTGGAGGTAAATCTCAATAGCTTCACAGCACATTTGTGGCTGCAGTCTGATATACAACATTTCCTCAGTCTCTGTACCCAAACCAGTCTGTGGCCAGGTCATTTCTTTGGTGGTTTCTGAGGAATGTTGTGAGGTTCTATTAATCTTTCTCCAGGAACTTGTATTTCTGATATTTCCCAGCTTTCATCTGCTTTCCTGGGAGATGGTTTTCCTTYCCAATTGCTGTACTATTGTTTTTAATATTACTGAGGCTTGTTGTCTTTTCCTGCTACTCTCTTTTGTAAAATTAAAATGCTACTTTTGGCACAGAAGCCATCATATTGCTTTTGAAGGATAGATATTATTTGTGCTCCCCCAACACCTTGGGAAGAATTGTACAATGGGACTCTATTCAGTCCACATTTTTATCATCATGGTCACCAACACCTGCAGCCATCATTCCATTTTAGAGCACAGCCTTACAGGTATTTCCCCCCCTTTTTCCAATATCAAGATATGAAGAAGATGAATGGAAGTTTCTTGCATGTTTTTATCAGTGTGTTTTTACAGCTCCCATGAACAGTGATGGACTTGGCAGCCTGGAGACTGAAATCCTCAGTTTAATCACAGCTCGGTGTAGTTGAGCACAAAGATGTGTTTCTGTACACAGCCCCTGTAGCGTGGCTAAGCCTGGAGCTGGAGAACTGACCTTCTGTAAGCACAAAAAAGCTCTCAGGCCACTCAGCCCCTGCCTTATCTGTGAACTGTTCAAAAAGAAGCATTCATGCCATTGAGTTTTTGTGACAGGTGCTGACGTCTGGTCTGAGAGTTCTCTTTTGGGAATTTCTTTCTCTGAGTTGTTGAGAGAAAGCAGTGTTCTATCCAGGCTGGGAGATGTACATCTGCGTGCATCAAGCTGTCACATAACACTTCAAAAGGCAGTGGGTTTTCAGGTCAGCTTGCATTTAGCCCTAGGCTTGATCTTCTGATCATTAGTGTCTGTGATTCTTTGTTTTAGTTGTGAAAACTCTCAGAATCCAATAGCTAAGCTAAGAGAACTAAGTAAAGCTGTAAACTTCATTCCTGTGTTAGGAGTTCTGAGATATTCTATTTRAAAACAAAGCAAAACTAAGGTCCTTCAGAGATTCCTGCAGCATGCTAGGTCCAGAGAAGACACAATGCACAGAATTCTTGTGTGTGGTCATAAATTCTGTTCTCTGAACATTTTGTAGTGTTGTACAGAAAGGCCATGGCCCTGGTCATATTTGAATTCATAAATATGTGTTTGTGGGGTTTTAATTACATTTCCCTGAAAATCCAATGTAATGAAAGCATGTGCTATTCCAAAAGAATTGCTGGCTATTTAATCTGCTGGAAATAATTTGACTGGGTTTGGGTTTTTTTTTTTTTTGTATTTTTCAGCTAACAGGACAAGTGACTTTGCAAATTGCCACTGATCCAGTTTTGCCGTTTAATGCCCTCGACATCGCRTTAGAAGTTCAGAACAATCTGAAAGGTAATTTTCATTAGAGGAATATAATTTTCCCTTAATATGGTGGGAGGGGGGAAAGGCTCTTCTAATCCCTGATACATATTTTCAATACTTGAATAATAGCCAGTGATTTTACTAGTTAAAACAGGTTCATTATATAATGCTGAATAAAATGCAGTTTTTGTTACTGAATAAAGCCATAGTTTGTTTTATTTCTTCTGATGTTACTTTGTTAATTAAGCARTACAGATTACCTAAGGTATTTGAAAAACACTTTTATTTATCGGTTTACGAAACTCTCAAGTTGATCTGTTAAATGGAGAAGTTCTATAAAATCACACCCAAACCTCACATATCCTTCGGCAGATTGAGAGATCGTATCTCAAATGTAAAGATTTCTCTTGCAATCTTGAGGTTCTGCCCCTGCATTTCATTCCCTCCTTACACTATAAAGCACCACTTTTCCGTAACACATGCTCACAGAAGTATGATACCTTTTCTTTAATCTTTGCCATCCATCATAGTGAAGATGTGGGAGTTGGAAAGCAAGTATTGGTCTGGAGTCAGTGAGCATCTAAAAAGACAAGTAACTTTAGCTCTGTTGTGCCACATAAACATTGGTTTAGTTCAGCCTAAACACAGCAGGGGATGATCATCAGATGAAAAGTGTGGCTCAGCTGGTATTCCTTCCACTGAACATGAGGTGTCTTCTATTGCTCTTCCTTTTCTCTTTATTTTGAGTAACAGGAAATGTTGATTTAAACTGGCTTTTTTTCCTCTAACTTCAGTTAGATCATTTATCTCCACCACTTCAGGGGGGGGGAAATTATTTCCTAGGCTGTAGGCCCAGTAGGATAAATTTTCTCCCAGATGCTCACTTTGGAGGCTTTTTTTAATGATTTTTCTCATGGCTTTTGTGTCTTGTCCATCTCTGACTTATATAAAAGACCACTGTATTTTCATTTTGGAAAATATTAAGACAATGGTCCTTTTTCAGTTACTTAAATGAGAAGTTGTACATTTTTACATGGCTCTTGGGTCTTCTTTAATTCTTCAAAAGATTGTGTGTTGTCCAAACTTTCCGGTTCAAAGTTGGAATGTCTTAGTAAGCTGTTTTGTTTTCCAACTCAATGCAACCTATAAAAGTAGAAAAGGTGGAGGTAAATCTGCATGACATGCTAAAAGATTTGCTCATTAGGCTTAATTTTGTGCCTCTGGGATCAGGTTCAGCCAATTCCTTGAACACACGTTTTATTGCCTGTCGGACTTTCTCACATGCTTGAAGTTAAATTTTGTGTAAATGCTTGAGTCACTGTTCTGCATTCTGCTACTCATAAAAAGTTGTGTTTACCTTTACTTGTTAATCCTGCATTTATTTATGTTTCTGAAGGTGTGTAATGTATCTAACTGTGTAATGTGTCTGCACTGTTAGCTCTGCTAAATTCTGTGGGATGTCACTCAGCAATTGCCAGACCATTCCTCACATTCAGGATTGTCTGGATAGTGAGTTATGTCATCCACAATGTGTTCATGTGGTTCCTGGCCTGATCCTCAGAAGGATGGGGGAGAGGCTGTTGAGTGACATGTGTTCTCTCCCTTGCACACCAGAGCTCTTGGAAAGCCACTGCTTTTGGGTTTATCTGAAAGGAAGAATAAGGGCTGGAGGGATTTCTTTTTGTGCATCTGCTGATGGTCTGATGTTCAACAGGAAACCTTGTGGGCATAAATGATAGGAGATGGGGGTTCCAAGACTGAAATCCAGGTCCCCCAGGGCTAGCCAGGCTGTTGCCTTTCTATTCACAGATGTGGTATTTTGGACAAATTCATGAATAGGTGACTGCTTAGAATATTCTCCTTAGCTACAYCTTGCAGTTGTGTGGTATTTTGCCTTCCATACATTTAAAATCAAGACCCATTGCAGCTTGAATCAAATACATGAATATCTTGCTAGGCCTTGTATTCTGTGAAAATCCAATTTATCTTTTGAGGCAGAGTGCAGGCAAGATGTCAAATCTGCTGTTTAAATGATACAAGTGGTGCTTTTAAGCACTCCTGTAGAAGGGCTTTGTGTGTATGTGTAAGTAAAAATGCAGTCATTTGTATAAAAGTATTTTGTATGTATACAAGCTTTTTTATTCAGAACATATTTGTATTTTCTGCTGAAAGCTTTTAGCACTGTGCTCCTCGTAGCCTGTCCTTAAAATCCAGTGTATGCTGCACAAGTTTCATGGGTTTGTGGTGGAGATTCTCAGGTGTCTCCTTAGATTTAAAAGCATTTCTTTACCTTTGCACCCGACTGTCTCAGCAATAACRAGTTCAGCCACCCATTTTGGTGATGGTGTCCCTCACCTGGGTGCTGTGTAAACKGATGTAATTTATTATTTCCCCTCACTTGGACCGTGCAAACCTTTCTCAGTCGCTTTTTGTGCCCCAACTCAGAGTTGTGGCTGTGCAGCACCAGGCAGGGGAGCTGAGATTCCCCACTTGGGGCTGCTGGAGCAAACTGTGGCCATCTCTGAAATGCACTGGCTGAGAGGGAGAGGCTTATGAAGACAAATKAAGGGTGGATGAGATTTTCTGGTTTTCCAGAAGCGCAAGAGCTGTGATTTAGAGCTCTTTGGCTGACGCGGTGTCAGCTCTGTGTGGCTCCCTATCAGTTAGGCTCTTTCTTCTCCCCAGAGTGGATGTTTTACAGATGTTACAGCAGCTGAAGCACTTGGGGTGATAATAGTAGGCAGCAGTCACAGAAGTTTAAAATAATCTGGTTTATGATAAGCCATTTCCAGGAAAGCCTGCGTGACTTTCCACATCCCTGTCTCTACCCATACATTTCGAAACAGCAGGCTAAACTCTCYGTCCTTAGAAAAATCAATACAGAAACATATCTCTCTCATTTACTTGATGGCTGCATGCTCATTGCCTACAGYTATCTGCTGCTCTTCAGCTTGGCATCAATTTACCTGCTTGACTGTATTTCCCTGATAATTTTGGGTGCTTTGCAGAGTTACTCTCTCCACCTGTCTGTAACATTCAAAAAGTTTCCCTCCTTACTGTTCCCACCAGTTATTCTTGACTGCAACAAAGGTGAAAAATACAACAAATCTGTATRTATGACAGAAATATCTCCTTTGTCATGAGAAACTGGTATCTTGGCTTCAGTAACCATTCCAAGTTATCATATATTAGGTACATTTTCCATGGGCAAACATGTGGTACTGAAGGGAAATGGTGTCCATCTTTTCTGTATTAGCAGGCCGTAAATTTCAGCAGCTCTGTACAAAGACATTGATTGCATAATAGTTAGAATCGTTTGGGATGGGAAAAACCTTTTAAAGGTCATCTGGTCCAACACTCCTGCAATGAGCAGGGACAWYTTCCAATAGATGAAGGTGCTCAGGTCTTCATCCAAGCTGACCTCGARTGTTTCCAGGATGAGGCRTTCACCACTTCTYTGGGCAAMTCTGTGTGCCACAGTCCTCATTGTATAATATTTCTTCTTTGCACCGAGTCTAAATCCAATTTTTCCTTTAAAACCCTTTCTCCTTGCCCTATTTCAATAGCTCCTACTGCAAAGGTTTGTCCCAAAATTGACTTGCACACARAAATATGTCTCAACCTTCCTCTTTAACATAACTTCTTGGAAAAAGACTTGGAGCAACACCAGATTAGTTTACTTGGGCTGTAGCAGTCATGGTAGCAAAATTGAGGCTGATGGCAACATATTCTTTGCACTAAGGATGTATGTGGATTTGTATTTCTGCCCCTTTAGGGTGGTTCCTACAAAGCTTTSCCATTCAGATTTCCTACTGCCAGGTCTGCTCATCCTATTTTGCAGAGCATGAAGTATTTTCCTTGTGAATACAGCAGCACAGCATAGCTGATCCTGAATTTGCAAGCTGATCAAAACCTGAAGCAATTTCCCTTCTCTCTGACATGCAAACATATGTTCACATGGATGGTGAGCAAGCATCATGCCTTAAAATGCTGCTTTGTCTGTGCTCCCTTTCCTGTAAGTACTTGTAGACAAGTACAATCATAACAGAGGGCACAAACACGATTTAAAAATGTTAAATCTTTAGCTATGCTTTTCATAAGAACAATCAGTYACACAGGGAAAGGCTTTATACTCAATATCTGTAAAAATAAATATCTRTTTGGTGTAACTTGTTTCTGAATAGGATACAGTTACATTTAGCAAGTGCARTGAAATTCAGCGGTGTGATTCTCTGATCAAGAGTGCACATGCTCTTGAGTCACTTTCTTGTATTTGCAATTTTATTTTTATAGCAACTAAACAACTAGCTTAGATGATTCATCATGATTCACACTGGAGACAAAAGGACAAAGAATACAAAATATAACAATGTGTTGTTGTTTTCTCTTAAGTGAAATAACACTTGTGCTTGATTTCCTCTGTAGAAGCATCCATCACAAGATGTTTAGGATATCAGGAGTCAATGCAGGGTTTTGTTGAAAAGTCATTTGCCCTTYCATTCCCAGCTTCTCAGAAGAATATTTTTCTGAGGCATGAACCTAACTTGATTTTAAAAAATTTGAATTACTCCAGAATCAGAGATATACCAAATCTGTTCATTAAGGTGCCATCACTCCTGCTACCCATTCCAGTCAGGGAGTTATGGTCAAGTGCCATTAGCAAAGAAACCTTGTCCCAAACCAGGGCAGACATAAATCATCTTCTCTCACTCCTGTTCCCCCAGGGAGCTCCTGTTCACTGTTGAAATTCATCTTGGTATCTCAGGAAATCTGACACTTTCTCTCACACCAGCATCTTGTCTCTCCGTGTATTCTGGAGCATTTCATGTTTTGCTAGATTGGARAGTGCTAGTCAGCTGAATGACAGCAGTACGTGGGGATCTATGAACTCCTTTTCCTTTGCTGGAATGCATCCAATGGCAAATCTTTTCTTCCATATGAGAGGGAGAATGTGTTATATTCAGGCATTTYCTTGGATTTCTTAGTTATACCCCTTTGCTKTTCCATTCCTATTATRTACTYACATGTCAGATTCCAGCCATAAATRATTTCAGAAATGGGTTGGTGTTTGTCCTGWTTTTGACTAGAAYAGAGTTAATTTTCTTTYTAGTAGCTGGTACTGATTTGSTTTTAGTATGAGAACAAGGTTGGTAACTCACTGGTGATCTCACCATTTCTCCTTCTGTACTATGAACAGGGAAATATTGAAATCGTGGTGTTCTCCACAGTGCTGCAGACTTTTATTCTTTTGGTGTTTGAGTAGGGTTGCTAACAAAGCAATAGTTCACACTCCATGTTTAAAAAGTTTGGAAAATATTGGCTGGATTAGAATACGCATTAAGATATCAATTAAAGTYGGCTCATTGGCATATGACTTAAGTGATTAAGAGGAGCCATTTCACACACCCTCTAAAATTGCTGTTAACCTCTGAGATTCTAAAACGTTGAATCAAATTCAATTAAACTCTGCATATTGCAATGTTCTATACAGCAGTCATTATGGAATCCAAGCACAGGCTTTCAGACTTGAGAGCAATAGCATCAAATGACTTTGAATAAATGCGGTCTCAGAAGGAAATGTTGTAATTCTTGATTTATAACCATTGCTTCCTGCATGCCTGTTTTTCAAGCACTAGATTTCAAACTGTACCCCAAAATCATTCCTCACAGCTTATTAGATCTTAAAGCATCAGAGCCCAAGTTGATCTTTGAGAAGCAGATCAGAGGTTACAGGCARTGATCTATGGCTTCCCTTGACCCGTTCTGTGCTGCTCGCAGGGGGAAAGAGGCTCAGGTTTTAATTGGACTATTAATTTTGACTTGCAAGCAAGAGTAATAAGTGKTGTGTGAATCACTGGTGGCTGTCTTGCTCTCGCTGTCCCCAGGTGATGGAGCAGGCTTTCCTCAGCTGCTGGAGGTGGCATCACGGCTGAGGGACACGGCGGAGCTGTTCCAGTCGGAYGAGATGCGCCCGGCCAACGACCCCAAGGAGCGAGCCCCTGTCAGGGTCAGGATGCTCAATGATGTGCTGCAGAGCCTGGAGAAAAGCTTCCTGCTGCACCGAGCTCCTCCCGGGCTCTACAGGTACAGTGTTCACACCTTCTGTAGCTGAGCTGGAGTGGTTCCCACCACCGCTCGCTTTGCAGAGCTGTCTTTAAAAGAAAACCTCAGCGAGTACCCAAGATTAAAGCTTTTCTTTTTCCCTTTCACATCCTTCCTGGAGAAAACAGTAATTCATTACAATGCAAGGGGTCATTAGAATGCAGCACTGTAGCAGTTCTGTCATGATGTTGCTGCTAACAGGATGTACGGTGTGATGGCAGCCCAGGCAGCGTGGCAGAAACGTGTGTCAGATGGCGCAGGGAGCTTTCAGAGGAGGAAAATATTTTGAAGTCTAATACTGCTTGACAAGCTCCACCTATATTTTATTTAAAACTTTGTACAGTTCATTGAAGATTCCGAATTATACAAGATACTCGGTAGCATTATTTAACATATTTAATTATATAGCAGCGTTCTTGGATGCATTTCAACGAGTTAAAGGCAGTAGAGTTCAATTAATGAGGGGGACTGAGTCAGTCACTGCTCATAACATCTCATCTCTGCTTGGAATTATTCCTGATGTGTATTCAGCTGCACTACCCAGGCTGGTTCTAAGATGTCGTAGTCATCCCATCTTTACTTTCTAAGAAAGAAATCTGCAGGTCTGTATCTCACCAGAACCAGCTAAAGTAATAAACCAGTASTTGAAGTTTCAAATTAATGTGAAAAATGATCCAGTGTCTGGATGGTGTGAAAGTGGACATAAAACAGACACGTGGTAGAGGTGGGGAAGGAAGGCAGGAAGCACAGCAACAGGAGGAAGAGATGCTTCCAGTCATTAGCAATGGTATRAAACAAATGCAGTCATCTTTTAACAAAAGCAAAGGTAAAAAAAATAGAAAGGTGGTTGAGGGGAACTCAACAGCATCAGTGAATGAAAGCCCTACAGCTGTAATAAAGAAAATAGAATAATTACATTTGGGGAGGGGCTGATTTACTTCCTTGCTGCTGTGATTGGATTTATAACATAAAGAAATAAGCCAAAATGTGATTATAAATAAAGTTTAATATTCTGGCTTTAGCACTGCTGTCTGTCTTGTCTGAACTGGTATGGTGTTGCAAAGGAGCCATGAGACTATTTAATAATAATATAATATGTCTGTGTTGTATTACAGCAGCAACATTTGACATTGTTGAATCTGGCCCAGTTTTTTAAAAATAAATTGTATCAAGAGTTAAGATTCTAAAAAGAAGGTTTTTGAGGTCTTGTAATACTTCMATTCCTGCAGTGCTTGCATTATTAACTACGTTATTTACCAAGATGTAATTGCTAGATGAGCAGACATAATGTAACAAATTTTTCACCTGCTCTCCACAGTTCTTCAGTTCAGAGCAAAAGGATTTTCACACTGGCAGAGTGGACACTAAGTGAAAATGTTGTACTTGTTGCCCTCCCAATTTAATTAAATTTGATACAAGATTTAACAGTACAAGATTTCAAAGTCTGGGAGAAAGCATTGGCTTTGACTTTACTCTGAGTAATTTTACCTGACATCATCTGGAATATACAACAGCAAAGGACACCTTGTGTATCATCATTTAGATGTTCATTTAAAAAGAATAACCCTTTATACTGTGCCAAGGTGTGTAATTGTTAACTTTAATGGTAAATCTGCACAGATAAATAGAATCAAGGACACTGTTCAATTTCTGATGTCCTTTGCTGCCATTTAAAATCTGCAATACATTTGCTTAATTAACAAATTACAAACATCTAACCATATGTCTTGTTTGGATTATTTTTCCTTTTTTAGGGATTGAAAGTCCTCCTATTAATTGATGAGGTTCTATGAATATATTTTGTATTCTGAAGCTCTGATTGTATCACAGGAGCACCATAAATACTTGAAAAACCTGGTACACTTTTTTTTTTTTTTTTTGCTTGTAAAACTTTAAGCTTATTCTTTTCATCATTTGATAAAGAAAACAAACAGAAAAATCCGTCTCACAGCCAGGACCTTGCATGCCATGTTTCATCCCAGCCAGAAGATTGATGGGCAAGTTATAAACCCCTGAAATAGTGGTTTATAATGGAAATGCTGGCAGCCCTTTAACTATAGCAGCACAAGCAGTACAGCAATAAATACTGTGCTTCATCTGTAAACAGAAATTTAGGATGCAGTTTGCAGCCTTGACCTTCAGGCTCCAACTGTGTTTAGATCATTAAGATTCCATAAATACTGTAATTTACAGCCTTCTGAAGGAAGAATTTGTGTGCACAGTAAAGGACGTATTCTTCATGAAAAAATGATTGCTTCCTGTATACCCATTTGGACTCATATTCTCAACCTCAATCAAAGTACTTGACAAATTTGCTGAGGTTTTAGGCATCGTTTTTAGCCTTGTGTTTGTCCTAATTCACAGCTCTCTGGATCTATACAATGTTTTCTGTCCTAGGACTTGAATTAAAAAGAAAAGTGGATTCTTTTCTTTTTTGCAGGAAGTGGGTTGCAACCTTCTTGTGCTTTTCTGCCACAGGGGATCTGATTTATCTTGCATATAAATTTATATATATATATAATTTTTTCCATGGTTTGCACACACATTCCCATCACTGTAATCTCTAACTGTGTAGAGGTACTTAAAAAAAAAAAAAGCCTCATTCCAGTCAATGTCATAGGGCAATATTTGGGCATAATTGATGCATTATTCATTTATAATGAGAGATAAAATTATTCAAAGTTTCTAACAGAATTCAAATTACTTTTTTTTTTTTTTTAATAATTGGATTAAGCTATTTGACYAAATTTCACTAATCATGATTGACATTGGCAGGTTGTTCAGTAGTGTCAGTGAATGCTGTGGGTTTGGTGTTCATCATTTTTACTGAACCTCCTGACACTGAACTGCAAATTTGACAACAGCACATGTTCCCCATGATCTCTGTTTCCAACTGAGCTGGAAATACACAAGTACAGCTTTTATCAGGGTATTTTAGTCTTATCCAGAAATTTAGGCAGAATGAAAAATAATAGGTTGAGAAATATCCTGCTTTGCAAAAGTTACCCTGGGACTTGATTTGGGGTTAGGACAAAATTGCTGAGTTTTATTGTACCTGAAGAATTTCTTTGATTCCCAGTGGTAGCCCTGGGTAGATTTTCTCTTCCAGCATAAATGTGTCAGAATAAAATAGGATTGCTGTTGGTACTTTTCATTTATCTTTCTTTGTTTCTGATAACATAATCATAATATTGATCGTATTTTGGATTTATAATTTTTTGTTATTTTATTGGAATAATCAGTAGAAATGGATTTATTTTGTTTCTTACCTTTAGCCATTTCTTGCTTTCCAGTCTTGCAATATATTCCTGTGTGGAACACTCTGTATGTTTTCTGATGATCATATTTTACTGCTCAAGGTACTAATCATAGATTACACAGCAGTGGCATGTACAAGGTTAATGTAAGAACAGAGGCTTTGTTCCTTTAGGCACTATCGAGGGGGAAAAAAGAAGATTTCAAGCATAGTGTCCTCTCCTTGAGATGGTCAGCCTCACCAGAGCCATAAAAAAGATTCCATAAAATATTCCAGACTGGTCATGTCTGTAATGCTTTCCCCCTACRGAAACACTCAGCGCAGTGAGATCTCCAGTCTTATTGAAAGGGTCACGTTTCTTCAGGTCCAGGTCTAATTTTCAGGTTTGGTGGGTGCTGTTGATACCAGCTGGATTCAGCAGTAAGTACCCAGAATTTYCTAGAATATCCTGGGATGTTCCCCCAAAATTTTCAAACCCAAAAGAGTCACTAAAATCACAGTTTGTGTCTCCAATCTTTCAAATTAAAGCCAAAAAGAGGCCTGCAAGGGCTCAGGCTGTCATTTCTGCTCCAGTTAGGTGGGTTTTATTCTTAGTGGACTATTGCCTAATGATCCATTATGTCCTGACTGACAGTTTATTTAACAGTTTTATAAAAAAATCAAAGTCAACTTGTGTAAAACCWTCCTTTTAAGAGTTTTATCTTAGCACACCAAATTTATCCTGTCCATTAAGGCTGTATGCATCTGCCACCACTATTTATGGAACAGTTACAAGGGTGATTGTGCTTTGTCTAATAGATGTAATTGAGGAAATTGAGTAGTAAGTAGGTGAAAAGTAAGGATTTTGAAAGCAATCTGTGTTCTCAGCAAAGACCTCCAGCAGTTTTTATTGCTCATTTGTACCAGTTAAACTTCTTCCTTTTGCTCCTTTTCATCAGGGATACTCAAGTGTGGAATTAACACTTCATTGGGCTAAAAAATTACAGCAAATCACATTTTAATGCACTGAACAAAATACTGGCAGTAGGCAAAGATAGATTGTGCACCCTGAATTTGGCATAATGAAATGAAAGAACAATCAAAAGATGTTTTTWGTACCATTCAAAAAAGGCAATTTGCATTGCTGCTGAACTCATGCCACTCAAGTGTTGATCACCAGAACAAATATTTTCCTTTCAGATTGAGWTTTGTTATATATATTCTTGACATGTGTAGATTCTGCTGGATTTATTTCTGCTTTACTGGTAAACTGCAACAGGTTCTCAGGTTTCAAAATACACATGCCCTAACAGTCTTGTTTCTAGAGATATGTTTAGTAGGAAAATTACAGACTTTATTATATCTCCATGTGTAGACAAGCTGTTCATTGGATTTACAGGAGACCGGCATTAAAGGTGCAAATATCCTRCTAATCTTAAACAGTAACTTGGGTAAACATGGAGTGCAGTGTCACCTGAAAAATAAAACCCTAACCCAGAGTTTCTACAGGAGACAGTAGTTCTGTCTCATTGTATAAACTCTGGAGATTGTTTTTTCATTTTATATTCTTCGTTTATGACTTCAAGTARAAAATATTCCTGTCTATTCGTAGTAATATTTGGGATGTTTTTTGACTGGCCTGAACCAAATGCATGGATTATTTTTATTGTTCTGCACTGTAGGATGTGCAGCAGAGAGTGATTTGATACAGTGTCGATGATCCTTAGTGTGGGAAGTACTGAAATAA